ACATCAGGGACACACGGACATCAGGGACATGGGGACATCAGGGACATGGGGACATCAGGGACACGGGGACATCAGGGACCACCAACTGCTGGCCCCTGCATGGGGACACGGGGACATCAGGGGACACGGGGACATCAGGGACATGGGGACATCGGGGACACACGGACATCAGGGACACACGGACATCAGGGACATGGGGACATCAGGGACATGGGGACATCGGGGACACACGGACATCAGGGACACACGGACATCAGGGACCACCAACTGCTGGCCCCTGCATGGGGACACGGGGACATCAGGGACACACGGACATCAGGGACACGGGGACATCGGGGACACGGGGACATCAGGGACACACGGACATCAGGGGACACGGGGACATCAGGGGACACGGGGACATCGGGGACACGGGGACATCAGGGACACACGGACATCAGGGGACACGGGGACATCGGGGACACGGGGACATCGGGGACACACGGACATCAGGGACATGGGGACATCAGGGACACGGGGACATCGGGGACACACGGACATCAGGGACATGGGGACATCAGGGACACACGGACATTGGGGACACACGGACATCAGGGACACACGGACATCAGGGACATGGGGACATCAGGGGACACACGGACATTGGGGACACACGGACATTGGGGACACACGGACATCGGGGACACGGGGACATCAGGGGACACGGGGACATCAGGGGACACGGGGACATCAGGGACCACCAACTGCTGGCCCCTGCATGGGGACACACAGACATGGGGACACACGGACATCAGGGACATGGGGACACATGGACACACGGACACACGGACATGGGGACACACGGACATCAGCGGACCACGAACTGCTGGCCCCTGCAGACACACGGACATCAGGGACACGGGGACATCAGGGACATGGGGACATTGGGGACCGCGAACTGCTGGCCCCTGCGGACACACGGACATCAAGGATAGAGGGACACGGGGACAGTGGGACGTGCGGGTATGGGGACAGATGGACATCAGGGACATGGGGACATGGGGACAGAGGGACACTAGAGACACGGGGACACTGGACACCAGTGAGAAGTCCTTGGTGACACAGGACAGGGACACCAGGGACAGGACACGGGACACAGGGGACACAGGGGACACAGGGGACACAGGCAACAGCCTGGGACATTCCCAGCCCTGGATCCAGGATTGTTCCCCGGGATTGTCCCCCTACATCGTTCCCTGGGATTGTCCCCCCAGGATTGTCCCCAGGATTGTCCCCAGCCTGTCCCCGCCTGTCCCCAGGACTGTCCCCAGGATTGTCCCCAGGACTGTCCCCAGGACTGTCCCCAGCCTGTCCCCAGGACTGTCCCCAGGACTGTCCCCAGCCTGTCCCCAGCACTGTCCCCAGGCCTGTCCCCAGCCTGTCCCCAGCTGTCCCCAGCACTGTCCCTAGCCTGTCCCCAGCACTGTCCCCAGCTGTCCCCAGCACTGTCCCCAGCCTGTCCCCAGGACTGTCCCCAACCTGTCCCCGCCTGTCCCCAGGGTTGTCCCCAGGACTGTCCCCATTGTGTCCCCAGCCTGTCCCCAGGACTGTCCCCAGCCTGTCCCCAGCCTGTCCCCAGGACTGTCCCCAGCCTGTCCCCAGCCTGTCCCCAGGACTGTCCCCAGCCTGTCCCCAGCCTGTCCCCAGGACTGTCCCCAGCCTGTCCCCAGCCTGTCCCCAGGACTGTCCCCAACCTGTCCCCGCCTGTCCCCAGGGTTGT